TTTTTATCTTTCTAACTCTTTCAAATTATTATGAAACCTTTACGAATCTAGAACCTTTACGAAACTTAGAATCTTACGATCTTCCATTCTTATGAATTTGAAAGTCCTTACGAACTTGAAACCTTTGCGAATCTATAACCTTTATGAAACTTAAAATCTTGCAAATATTTCATTCTTGTGAATCTTACAGTTATTGTGAACCTAAAACCTTTGTAAATCTAGAACCTCTACAAAACTCAAAATCTTGTGAATCTTCCATTCTTGAAAATCTGAAAGTCCTTGTGAACTTGAAACCTTTGTGAATTTAAGACCTTTGTGAAACTTGAAATCTTGTGAATCTTTCCTTCTTGTGAATCTGAAAACCTTTACGAACTTGAATCTTTGCGATCTTGTTAAACTTGGAATATTAGGACTTTCAACTTTTGTTATGAAACCTTACAAATTTTTTATTATTCAAATTATGAATCTCTGGATTTAGTGTTAAAATTTTGAACTTTACTTTTTTTTAACCTGCGATTCAATCTCGGACACTTTGTCTAGATTATTTTATTTTTTGACTCATGGTTCAATTTCAGTCACCCGTTTTGATCTTGACTTAGTCTAGATCATTTTATTTCTTATTTCACAATTCAGTCTTGGTCATTTTCCTATTTTGGTATACTTTTAGTGCTTTTTTTAAATCTTGGCTTTCAAATCTGAACAAAATGGATGTCTTTTGTCTTTGCACAATTCATGTTTCACAAAAAATGCACAAAAAAGGGCAACTTTAGATACCTTATTTTGTCTGAAAATTTTTTTTAAGATTGAAAATAGGCTTTCGGTTATGAATTGAGCTCAATTGAGAAACTTTGAACCCAATAAGAAAAGTTTTAATTTTAATTTGATTTAATTTGTTTTATTTCTTTTTGTTTAATTTTACTTGTCTAGACAAAAAAGGGAGTTAAAAAAATGTTGAAGATTTTACAATAAATTTTAGTGCTTGATTCATGCAATTACGTTGAAAATTTTCAATTTAATGGCTAAAATAAAGAAGGATTCAATCTATAAAGAATAAACTGAAACCAGAAAGGAGGGGGCAATCAAGGGCAATTCAATGCATTGAGGTTTTTAGGGATTCAAGCTTAATTTTCTAGAGCAGTGGTAAGTCTATAGGTGACAATTGAGAGGGAGCCTACGATCAAGCAAAAAAAAAAGGCAGAGAAGCAATTATGGAATCAATTTTGGTAGAATAGGGGATCATTCAGCAGAAAAATTTTTTCTTTGCAGTAAGCTTTCAGACAAGTCAGCAATGGAATAATTCAACACCCATCCACCCAACCTGCAAATGAAAGCAAGATCAAACAACCTTAAATGGAGACAAAAACCAAAAGTAACAAACAAAAGGATAACTATGCATAGGACATTAACCATTACGCAAAAAAAAAAAAAAAGGGAAAGTTCCAAAAAGTTCTTGGCTAAAATTTGAGGTAAGAAATATATATCTAGAAAAAAAAGACTGAAAATTTGAAGAGAGATCCTAGGTTCATTGGTTGCAATTTCAAGTGAATAGTAAATGAGTTGTTTTATTGTTTTACAATTAAATTAGATTGGAAAAAACACTGTTGTTGTAGAAGCCTTTTCTACTGTCAATCAACTTCTACTTTTTCCTCTCTGACTCTATCAATAAAAGGACTGCATTTTCTTGTCATCTTCTGTGAAAGTAAAATCATCTTTTTGGACTTGGTCACCGTATGTGGCCATGTTGTGCCCAAATAGGAGCTTGTTAGCAAATCATTTCTCTGTATAAAGTTCCTTTCTAGGTCGTCCACTGGTAACAATCTTCTTGTTACTTCTGTTTTCATTATTATTCATTTTATTTTAAAATTTTCTTTTATTTTACTTATTATTATTATTATATTCTACTTTTAATTATTATTTTAAATTGAACAATTTATTTTAAATGTCTTTATGAATAATAAAAAAATCTTTCCAACTAAATTCATGAATCCTACCAAACTCTTGGAGGATTTTCATGAATTTAAAGTTTATGAAATCCACCAAACTATTGAAAATTTTCATAAATTAGTTTCAAAAAGAAATTTTAAAAAATAAAAAATAATAAAAATAATTTTATCCTCTAAACTATTAGAGGATTGCTTCCTAAATTAAGTCTTACCTAACTATTGGGAGACTTAATGAAATTCTTAAAATTTTTTACAAATCTTTTTATAATAAAATCTCATCAAACTATTGAAAGATTTGCTTCAAAGTAAGTCCTACCAAACTATTGAGAGACTTTACTGATTTTCTTAAATAAAATATTATAATAAATCCGATGACAGAGTCTCTTCAGAGTGAGATACTAATCTCCATGAATACTCCTAAGGTGAGAGAATTATCTTAAATTACTACCAAACTATTAAGATAATTTTAAGATTAATTTTCAATACTAAATATTTTGGTAAAGCATAAACATTTTTAAGACTTGGATAATTTGGAATCAAACTGGTACCCACTTTTGATGGGCCCTGTAAGGGTACTATAACCTTTCTCTCGTGTAAACGTACTCCCAAACTTAAAATCTGGTTTTGAATATCAAGTTCGATCAGGTGACCAATCACACCTAAGTAAAAAAAATTGGTAGCGACTCCTCTTATCCATGTCTAGCGGTAGGTCCATGGACCTATATATTATGATAGAAGAGTTTATCTTTTTCATGCAACTTAGAAGGTAAAGATCAAGCTTCTCTCTTAAAGTTTGAATTTGAAAATGCATCTTGTAATCTCTACCCCTTGGCCGAATCCAATTCTATAAATAGGGAGGCCATTTCTTCATTCCAATCATTCATCTCCTCACTTTTGTTCTTTCTTTTAGTTTTTAAGTTTCTTTAAGTTCTTTTTTTCTTTTAGTTAAGGTATTGGCTTAGCTGACTGATTTGCCAATTACCAAGTTTTTGTTCTTTAAATCTTTTTCAATCAAAAAGTATTTCATTCAAAGATCTCTTTTCTTGTTTTTAAATTTTGCAAATATTGTTTCTTGTTTTTTTTAATTTTGACTAAGCATCATTTTCCAAGATTGATCCAAGTTTCTTTGTTTTCTTTACAAGATTTGGCTACACTCTCTTGTTCTTTAATTTTTTTCATGCAATATTTATTTCTTTAAAAGCAATTTGGCATTCTTTTTTACAATATTTTAATTCTTTACTTTACAATCTTTTAATTATTGGCTTTAGGATTACTTGTTGGCATTAATTTTTTAATTCCAAAGTGACAATTGATGAAGTTTAGAACCTTGCCTTTAATTTTTACTTAAACTTTGTAACCTTAAAACCCTAAATATTCAATTGTTTAGATATAGGATCTTAACCTTTCACCTTTGGTACTTGTGAACTATCCAACATTACATTCTATAATCCCTAAAGAGACAATACTTGAAATACTCCACTTTATTACTTAATTTGTGCACTTGCAAGCTATATACAAAAAGCAGCAATCAATACGCTAGAGTCTCAAGGTTTTAAATTGAGTCTATCTAAAATCGCATATATGGAATGTAAATTTAGTAGTCATAGAGAAGTAAGTACTAGTGCGATTAAGTTGAATGGTGAGATAGTACCAAAGAATAGTCATTTTTTTATATTTAGGATCAATTATTCAAAGTAATACTAAGATAGAAAGAGATATAAATCATAAGATTCAAACTAAATGAATGAGGTAGCAAAGTGTGTCGGTGTGTTGTGTGATTATAAAATGTCTTTAAACTTAAAGGTAAAGTTATATAAAACAATTGTAAGGCTTACTTTGTTATATGAGACTGAACGTTAGACCGTTAAGAAGCAACATGAGAAAAAAAATGAGTTTAGCTAAGATGATGATACTTAGATTAGATGTGTGATTAAATTAGAAGAGATAAAATTAGAAATGAAGAGATTTGAGAAAAAATAAAGATAGTCTGAATTAAAGAAAAGATGAGAGAAAATTGTTTGAAATAGTTTGGATATTTGAAACGTAAGCCTATTTTTATACCAATTAAAAGAAATGAGCTTATGGGTTTGGAAGAGAACAAAACTTTTAGAAATAGACCACGGAAAATACAGATACATGTAATAAGAAATAATATAAAAGCTAAAAAAGTAAATGAAAATATTGTTTTTAATAGAAATAAGTGCTGCAAAAAATTTCAAAACTATTATCTAACATGATTATTTTTTTGGTTTTTCATATGATTGACCCCAAAATTATAGGATATAAAACATAATTTGTTGTTATAATAAAATTGATCTAATTTGTAAAAAAAATTCTAATTATATTTACTGAAGTATTTCACTAAAAAATATATTTTATTAATTCTAATAGCATTGATTACTTTATTAATTAATACATTAAAATTTTTAATTATTTATACTTCAAAATTTATTCTTTAAAAATATTTTAATTTTATATATACTTATTATTTTCAAAATCAATTAAAATAATTAATCTTTTCATTGTGCTTTTTTTTTTCTAATAAAAACTAAAGAGTGATGTGACGAAAATCCTAATTTTAAATTGACTTGTATCTATGTGATGAAAATCATTGGAAAAATTTCACTAGTAGGGGAAAGATCAGCCTTTCCGTATACCATGTAATACACATTTTTGTGTGGATTTGGGTGCCGTTTCCTTAGAGAATATTCCAATTCTTGGCCATGTGGCACGAGTAAAAGATTCAAGAGATTCCTTCTCTCATGGTTTTCCCACCATGAGTGAATATAATATGAAAGCATTGCCGTTCTCTTAGAATTTTCCACATCAATAATCACAAATAAGATCCAGTAATGACTTTGTATTCAATCGAAAAGGGCTTTCTTTAATACTTCATAGATACATATAAAGTCCCTTTCCTTCAATAGGTCTATTATATATATATATAGATATATATATATTTCTTTAATACTTCATAGATATATATAAAGTCCCTTTCCTTCAATAGGTTTATAATATATATATATATATATATATCTATGAAGTATTAAAGAAAGATATATATATATATATATATATATACATACACACACACACAAACACACACATACATAATCAGTGAAAAGGTGAGGTAGCCTTCATTTTTGGTTTAATATCGCATGGCCGCTGTTCCTCCCGGCCCGGTGCTAGTGGCCTACCAAGGCGGGACACCAGCAGTCCCAGTTTGGCTAAACAAAGGAGATAATGCATGGCAGATGATATCCGCCACGCTAGTTGGCCTCCAAAGCGTGCCAGGCTTAGTTATCCTCTACGGTAGCATTGTCAAGAAAAAGTGGGCTGTGAATTCAGCTTTCATGGCCCTCTATGCATTTGCTGCCGTGGTTATCTGCTGGGTCATTTGGGCCTACAGGATGTCCTTCGGCCATAAGCTTTTGCCTTTTTGGGGCAAAGCGGGGCCTGCCTTGGGCCAAAAGTTTCTAGTGAATCAAGCTCTTCTTCCTCAAACAACACAGTTCTATGATAATGGTCGGGTGGAGACGGCTATGTTGGCACCGTTTTATCCTATGGCGTCTATGGTTTGGTTTCAGTGCGTGTTTGCGGCGATCACGCTGATTATATTAGCAGGGTCAGTCCTGGGGAGGATGAATATAAAAGCGTGGATGGCTTTTGTACCGCTTTGGCTCACTTTCTGTTATACAGTGGGTGCATTTAGCTTGTGGGGTGGAGGTTTCTTGTTTCACTGGGGAGTTATGGACTATTCTGGGGGTTATGTTATTCACCTTTCTTCAGGGATTGCTGGTTTCAGTACCGCCTTTTGGGTTAGTTTCCAATCTCAAGAACAGTTCTGATATATCTGACTTAGAGCAAAAAAAAAAAAAGAACTGAATCTATTAATTCAACTGGAAGGTCTAGAAGAACATGAGTATCAGTAAACGGAATTCTCCAAAATAGATGCTCTGGGCTTCTAATATGGCTGCCAAAGAAAAGTTTGGTTATATTATCACTTGCAGGAATTGGCCTCTCTTTTTTTTTTTTTTTTTTTGGTTAGATTTTGTTAGTTTGGAACTTCTAAGCAATCTGCGGTGGTATGATCTGACAGTGGCTTTGTGATGCAGGTGGGGCCAAGACCAAAAAAGGACAGAGAGAGATTTCCTCCAAACAATGTGCTACTGATGTTAGCAGGGGCAGGCTTGTTGTGGATGGGATGGGCAGGTTTCAACGGTGGAGATCCATACGCTGCCAATGTTGACTCTTCCATGGCTGTTCTAAATACCAATATTTGTGCAGCTACTAGTCTTCTCGTTTGGACTTGGCTTGATGTTATTTTCTTCAAGAAACCCTCCGTTATTGGTGCTGTCCAGGGCATGATCACAGGTCTTGTTTGCATCACTCCTGGTGCAGGTATTAACCAGGCTTCATTTCTTTTCTCTTTTTCCATATTCTTTATTTTAATTTCTTCTAAAGTCAACTTTCACTTCACGTCATCCAGACATGTATTAATTTCTTGCAACCTAGCTGATCTGGTGACATAAAAAGAATTGAATTTTCTTATTCTTTAATTTCTTTTCCCTCCTGAAAATATATAGGTCTTGTGCAAGGATGGGCAGCGATAGTGATGGGAATTCTATCAGGCAGCGTTCCATGGTTCACCATGATGATCATTCACAAGAGATGGACGCTGCTTCAACATATTGATGACACACTAGGCGTGTTTCATACCCATGCAATTGCGGGACTTCTTGGCGGTGTCCTAACCGGTCTCTTTGCTGAACCTCAGCTCTGTGCAATGTTTTTGCCCGTAACAAACTCAAGAGGAGGCGTCTATGGAGGTTCCGGGGGGATCCAGATCCTGAAACAATTAGCAGGCGGCGCTTTCATAATTGGATGGAACCTTGTCGTCACATCGATTATATGTGTAGCTATAAACCTAGTAATCCCACTGCGTATGTCAGAGGAACAGTTATCAATTGGAGATGACGCGGTGCATGGCGAGGAGGCGTACGCTCTTTGGGGTGATGGAGAGAAGTACGATTCAACCAAGCATGGGATGTATTCAGATGATACCTCGCAGAACAAGGCTTCAACTGGAGCTACACAGGAGGTTTAGTTAAACTTTACAGGGTCAAACATCAAAAGGATAGATCTGAACAAATTGCAGAACAAACATTCAAGTTGTCGTGTTATCAAGCACTGGTTAGGTCTTTCCTCAAAAAAGGCACTTTGACATTTGTGCATATATCTATTCCTTAACCTCTCCGTCGTCAATGCATAATATGTACACGTCAACGAGTCTTCGTTGTCTCGTGGATTATTTTTTTTTTTTTTTACAATTAAAATTGTCACTTGTCAAGATTTTAATTTTAAAATTAAAAATTTAATACTTTATGGAATGAGTGTTTGTCTGTTGAGTTGTTTTAAGTTTTATTTTCCAATAAAATTAAATGTATAATTGCTTGTCCGCCGAGTTGTTTTAAATTTTGTTTTCCGAAAAAATGATAAATGCAATACCGCATTTTCTACTAACAGTGACGCTTTAGTTGTTTTAAGTTTTATTTTTAAATAAAATGACAAATACAATAAGTACTGCATCTTCTACGGATGATGACGCTTTCGGTTTTACTAGTTCCATATTTTCCAATAAAATGAATGATAGATACAATTAATACCGCATTTTCTAGGAATGGTGACGCTTAGTTGTTTTAAGTTTTTTATTTTCCAACAACATGACAAATACAAAACAAACGGCATCTTCACGCATATTCTACAGATGGTGACGCTTTACTCGTTTTAAGTTTTATTTTCCAATAAAATGATAAATGTAATAAATACTGCATCTTCCACGCTTGATGACGCTTTCGGTTTGACTAGTTCCACATTTGATGTAATATAAACAAACACAAACACAATTGGAATTGATTCGGTCAAAATTTCAATTTAATCCCTGTATATTATAGTCCAATATTTTACAATAACCCTCACTTAAAATTACTTATATTAAATTATTTTACAATATTTTACAATATTTTACAATTGGATTTAGTCCAATAACCCTCACTTAAAATTACTTATATTAAAAATTGTGACTTTCGTTATTATATTTTACACCATTGAGTAAAAAGACCTATCATCTTCAAAAAAAATTTATTTATTTTTATTTAATTCATTAATAACTACATATATATATATATATTTAATGTTTCAAATTCTTATTCCAAACAAAACATAAATAAAGAATACTTATTAAAAAAATATTGTATAAATCCAAAAAAGCATCTAGATATACTTGTGCCGAACAATTTGTGCCACATCCACAGCATACAAAAGCACTTATATCAACTTGTCAGAATGATACAAAATGAAGAAAAGGATACACTATGTCGCTTTTTCTTTATGTCTACCTCCCTTCGACCAAGTCTAGGAGTGTGAATACTTAGGACAATGGCCTTGCATCCACAATTCATGATAATTCCTCTTGCATAAAACCAATTGAACAAAAATTACAAGGAATAGTACAAAATATTGATATCCAGAAATACGAATTGTACGATAAATGTATCACTTGGTAAGGATGAAGTATTAAGTTGGAACTTTGGATACTTCTTCTGGTTTGCCTGATGTAAATTAAAAATTAAAAGAACAATAGCATTTTGCTCCTATGATTTACATTATAGATTAAACAAACGATTTCTAACTATGTGCACTTGGAAATATATCTAATTTAAGGTGGCATACCTTTGGTCTGAAATACAGAGGAAGATCCAAGAAAATTGCATAATTCTCAGTAATTGCAAAGTCATGGATCATGATCGGTTCTGATATTGTTTTTGGTAGTGGTTTGTGTATGAAACCATCGTTTGAAATAACTCTGTATGTGATATATGGTGGCATGTGTGAATAGCCAAAAGTAAACATCTCACCTGCATGTAGAAATCTCATAAATCAAAAGCATTTTTACCACTCTGTAACTAATAACTTACTGATTGCATTTTTAATGATGGGTCTCACCAGTGACCGGATTGACCTTCGGATAAGCGGTGAAGGCAGCGAAGCATGCCAAGAGTTTGGAGATCTCTATCCTCCAAAACTTTGACAGCATCTGCATGTTGCAACAGGGGTTATAATTTAATACCTAAGTTTCATTGAAAAAAAATATCCTAGTTAAAAAAAAAAAAAGAATTGCAAATAGAAGTGAATTTTAGCATCTTTAACCCTCTTCATTCTTTCTTTAAAGAAAACTGAACGCGAGAAGACAAATTTACAAGGTTTGTCAGCCTATTAAAGTGCCAGAAGTTTTCCATGATTATATATGAGAGCTGTACTAGCTGAAAAATGATGATATGTTAGGTCAGAGTTTCACATCAATAAGATAAGCATTTTAAAACAAGTGTAGATATCAAATTTTGTCTGAAACATTTTAATATAATTGAACAAAGCCTATTTGAAGCCCATAAAAAGATCCCTTAAAAAGCTCATAAAATGCATCAATATTTAAGCCTAATAAACAAAGAAAAATAAGACACGTTTAGTTAATGTCAAATTCTTTCACATTAGATTTTTATGGATGATATTTTTTTCATGTGCATGTATGAATAATAAAAAATAAATAAAACGAGTAAACTCTAAAGTCAATTCTAGTTAAAATTCTACAAAAATCCAGTCAAAATGAATAAAATCAGGGTCAATCTTCAAAATTCACAACTTAATTGAATTAATGTAGTTTAAAATTAAATTTTGATGATTTTTAAAACACTAAAAATTTTTATTATACTAGGAGAAGTGTGAAATTACTAAAATACCCTTATAAAGGTATTTTCGTAATTTGCCCTTACCGTGCTCAGATTTTCATGATTTTTTGTATTTTAAAATCTCAAAAATGAGCATGAAAATATTGATTTCTAAAAAAATGGCTTAAATACTAAAAAAATTTGCATTTGAAGTAAAATGATCTTTTTATATGTTTGAAAGGTCTAAAAATCAAATTATTGTAGTGAACAATGTGAACTATTAGAGCTTTTATTGATCTTGATCCAATAGCTAAATGTGGTTCCTTGAAAAAAAAAAAAAGAGAAGCTTTGACCCTTTGATGAGATCTCATCCAAGGGTCTATATTCACCAAAAATAAGATTTTTTCTAGGGGTTAACTATTAAAATGAAAGGAGTTTGGCCATAAGAGGAAGAGACGGTTAGAGAGGAGCCAAACACGTAAAGAAGAAAAGAAAGAAAAAACTGTTAAAAAAAAAGAAAAAAGAAGCAAGATAGCCTAATAGAAAAGGTGAAGGAGAAAGGAAAAGAGGAAAAGAGTCTGCCAAAAAAAAGGAGAAGAGTCCATTGAAAAGGGGAAATGAGGCTTTTCTAGAGTAGAGAAGGAGAAGCCAACAACCAAAAAAGGAAAGAGGAAGGCAGCCAAAAAATACTTGTATTCATTAAGGGTGAAAAAGAAAGAAAACTTTTAAAACCAGTAACAAACTAAGGCAAAACATAATACAAAAAATCAAAATTTTTATAACAGACAAAAAGGACATGGGCATGCAATAGAAGATGGGAAACTCGAACCAAAAAAGATGAGAAAAGAGTGAAGTAAAATGAGGCATTCAGCATAGCAAACAAAATGGGGAACATCAAGTAGAAATGGGCAGAGATATAAGAAACTAGAACTAACGATAATCCTTTGTTCTCTTGTTCCTTTTGCATGGATATAGCTTATTGTTGTTGATTGGGTATATTAAACTAAAAATACTAGAAAGCATGTCTGGATGACTGTGGTTTCTTTGTAGTTTCTTTTCTATGTTTCTTTCTTCCAGTAGAAAGTTCTTGGTCTTTTTGTAGTGTATGTTGCTTAATTGGTAAAAATTTCTATGCTTACTGGGACGTTGGCTGTATATAAGGCTACTACCATACAGAACTTCCCCTTTTAAATGCGTGAGGGCTGATAATATAAAAAAAAATACAAGGTTTTACTTTCTAGGGTAAATGTTTGTTGAAGGATTTGCGTAAATAATACTTATCAAATTCAAAAGGTAATAAATCCTTTCCCCCTAAAAAAAATAGAATGTGACGTTTTGAATTTTCTTCCTTTCATAGACGACACATGTGAAGAGTCAACAAACAAATAAAGTTTTCCCCACATTCCCCACAAATATTTGTCATGCAAAAAAAAAAAAAAACCATGAACACATAAAGGCTAATGCATCATACATACTCCAAACAACATGGATGAAAGCAGGAAATAGACTAACCCCTAAAAATGAAATAAAATCGAAATTGATGGTGGGAAATCAGACCTAAAAAAAAGGTGCCTTAGGCTTTTATATGTATGAACTAAAGTAGACCCTAAAATCAAAGGAAAAGGTCCATATATGATCGATTTTTCCTTGTTTTTACCTATTTAACTAGGTTCAACATTTCTGAAAAAAACATGGAGGTTAGACCTATACTTGCCCGAAACCAACAACCAAAAAATGGTACCCCCTTTTTAATATCATAATCGACAAACATGAAAAGGAAAAACCTTTACAGTCCTGAATATAACAACAAATAGCAAAATGGTAGCCCCATCAAATCTATGAACTGTTTTCTCCCAAATCATATAAAATATATAAATGATGTCCAACATGAAACGAAGTAAAGTCATGCACAATAAGAAACAAGGTTTGAGCATTCATAGGAAAGAAAATAAGGAGAGTTACCTTCTGTTTTCCTTTTTCTTTTGTTTTTCATTTTTGATCTTCTTTTCTCTCTTTTTCTTTGGCAACCTCTCCTCTTTTTCTGGTTCTCCCATTTTCTTTTTCTTTTCTCATTTTTCTTCTCTATTCGGCTTCCTTTTATTTTTTTTCCAGATGTTCCTTTCCTTCTTTTTGTTTTACGTTCTTCCTCTTTTTTTATATGCTTCCTTCTTTTTCAGCCTTCCTATCTTCTCTCTTTAATAAACCCCTTACTCTTTTTTAGTCAACTTCTTTCTTTTTTTTTTCTTTTTTCTTCTCCTTTAAACTTACTCTATTCAACTTACCCTTTTATTTTTTTTAGTAGCTTTTTTCTCTCTCTTTTTTTTACGTGTTTAGCTTCTTTCTTTTCTAGCATTTTTAGCCCTCTTTAACCTCCCTTTAACCGAACTATTTCTTTCCATTTTAATAGTCTACCTATAAAAAAAAAAATCTCATTCTTGACAAATATAGACCCTTGGATGAGATCTCATCCAAAGGTTAAAGCTTCTCTTTTTTTTTTTTTAAAGAACCACATTTGGCTATTAGATCAAGATCAATAAAAGATTTAATGGTTTATATTATTCATTATAAAAGTTAAATTTTTATATCTTCTAAATACATGAAAAGAGATATTTAGGTCATTTTCTCAGAAAATAATGTTCCCATGCTCATTTTTCAAATTTTAATATATCAAAAATTATGAAATATTATGAAATTAAAATCTAAAACGTTTTATGAAAATTCAAGCTCGAAAAGAATAAATTATAAAAATATCTTTATAAAGGTATTTTGATAATTTCATACTTTCTAAGATACTACTATAATTTCAAATGCATCAAAAATCATAAAATATTATGAAATTAAAATCTAAAAAATTTCATGAAAATCTGAGCTCGAAAAGATCAAATTACAAGAATACTCGTATAGAGATATTTTGGTAATTTCACACTTATCAGAGGTACTATTATGATTTCAACTGCATCAAAAATCATGAAATATTATGAAATTAAGATCTAAAAAGTTTCATGAAAATCTAAGCTCGAAAAGACCAAATTACGAGAATACCATTATAAGGGTATTTTGATAATTTCACACTTTTCGAAATACTGTTATGATTTCAAATGCATAAAAAATCATGAAATATTATAAAATCAGGATCTAAAAAGTTTCATGAGAATCCATACTCGAGAAAGATAAATTACAAAATACCCTTATAAAGGTATTTTGATAATTTCATATTTTTTTAAGGTACTGCTATAATTTCAAATACATCAAAAATCATGAAATATTATGAAATTAAGATATGAAAAGTTTCATGAAAAACTGAGCTAGAAAAAGCCAAATTACAAGAATACCTTTATAAAAATATTTTGATAATTTCATACTTTTCGAGGTAATGTTGTGATTTCAAATGCATCAAAAATCATGAAATATTAAGAAATTAAAATCTAAAAGATTTCATGAAAATTTAAGCTCAAGAAGATCAAATTACAAAAATACTCTTATATGAGTATTTTGATAATTTTACACTTTTTGAAATACTACTGTGATTTTAAATACATCAAAAAAAATATATTACCAAATTGAGATATAAAATATCTCATGAAAATCCAAGCTCAAAAAAGATAAATTACAAAAATATCATTTAAAAATATTTTATACTTTCCCAAACGCAATAAAAATTTTTAGTGTTTTAAAAATCATCAAATTTAATTTTAAACCACGTTTATTTCAATTAAATTTTAAACTTTTAAGATTAACCCCAATTCTATTCATTTTAACCAAAATTTGTGTATCTTTTACTTAAGTTAACTTTGAAATTTACTCATTTCATTTATTCTCTAGTTTTCATACATCCACATGAAAAGATATCATCCCTTGCAAAAAAATTTGACATTAATCATACAAATCTCATTTTTCTTTGTTTATTAAACCGAATATCGATACATTTTATAAACTCTTAAAGAGGCCTTTTTATAGGCTTCAAATGAGTTTTGTTTAACTATGTTAACATGTTCTAGACAAAATTTGATGTCTACAACAAGTAAGCCACTAGTGATGAGCAATAACAAAAAAAATTGAAAAGGGAATTGTTTCAAACTGCATTTTGATGGATAAATGTGCCATGGCTTCTTGGAATAAATTGAGGGACAAAAAAGTTTCGAAAGCTCCATTCCTAAACGGTACTAAATCAACTAAATGTATCAAAATGATGAATGTAATCCATAATCCATTCTAGATCACTCAGTGTTTCATTAGCATTTTCTTTCTATGATGATTTAGGGAAATAACATTGGGATCTTAGCACCATTCAACCATATCTTTGCTTTCTATGTGCGGAACAAACACCAGGGCATACAAATACTAGCACCCAACAGGATAAAGCATAAATGCATCACAGACGTCATGCATAAGCAATAAGAAATCCGTTTTTTATTGTGCCACAGCTTAAAATGGAACTTGCTGAAAGCACATGCCTTGAATTCAATAAACAGACTAAACAAATTTCTCTCAGCTTCTGTATATTGACCATGAGCAACGCAAATAGCCCCTTAAGATCTTCGACCTGCAAAATGACATATTCAAGAAAAAGAAAATGACATCTCCCAGATAAGCATTTGCAACAGAGGTTTCCTATAGTTAATATTAAAATCTTAATGCTTCTCTTAAAGTCATGGAACTGTGCAGGTCATGCCATTACCTTATAGATTTCATAAGGGCATACCACTTAAGAGCAGCTCAAATAAATTAAAAAATAGCGAGTACAACTTTGCAATGCTTTATATTACATAAATTCATGAAACATATTCCCCTCTAAATCACATTATAATGAATAAAAAGTTCACTAATTATAACACTTATCAACCTTTTTCTGTCAAGAAGGTAACTTGTAAGGTATACCTTCATAAATTTTGCCTCCCCAAAGAACTCTTCTTCTTTAAGACGTGATGTCCTCACATAATGGGAGACGTGTTGCCTTTCCATCTTTGATGTGCATACCAAGAATCATTCTGCAAATTAAGGAATTAACAGTTGACTATATCTTATTTCTGTTATGTCATGCAACCGTATTAAAAATTAAAGTCACTGGTAGAATTCAATAGAGGGAAAAAATGCACACTTCAAATACACTTTACTTTAGATTTTTATTTGGTGAATGCATCTTCAAATAGTTAAAAATTAAAGACACTTTACCAGTTAGTTCAAGCTTACATCTTCAATTCTGCTCACCTCTGCCATAACATTAATAGGACCAAATAGAGTAACTATTAGTTAACCTTAAGAAAACCAGAACTATAAAATGGAAATGGATGATAGACAAAAATTCAAAACAACAAAAAGAAATTAAAAGAATCCAGGAAAGAGAAAATGTTTGTACTCAACTTGCAGTTTTGCAGCAGTTTTAACAATAATTTCATTAATAGTTGTACTTAACTTGGTTCAATAGTAGATAGAAGGAAAAAATATATTAAACATTTCCAGTATTAGCAAAAGGCTGTATTTAAGTGATCACAAGTAGAAATTACCTGTTATCTTCTGTAACACCGTTACTTTTCCTTATTGCTGCCAAGACTGCAAGTTATAAGCCACATTTCAAAGTCCATAAGAAAAATTGTCCTACTCAAGAACAAAAAATAAAAATAAAAATGCATTTAAATGCACTTTCTTCAGTACATCCATGGAAGAAATTAAACAAACAAATTAACATAAAATTGAACTAGAATTTGAGACTTGAACTGAGAACTAAAAATTTCAAGACCTTTTTTTTGCCGTCGAGAATGGCTTCAAGTGAGTCAATACTACTTGAAATTAATTTTCAAACTCTTGTAATTTTAACTTAGACAACTAATTTGGCAAGCCCACCTATAAAAATTAGAGTTTTTAATATTCCATTTAATTTAAACAACATAATTTTCAAACTCTTGTACTTTTAAATTCATTTTTCAATATCATTTATGATCTTTTGCCAAGTTATTGTTAGATCATACCAATTTGTTTTTAATCTAAAACGGCCATAAATTTTTGCTACAATTATGTAACATATGGGTAGAGGTCAATGAGGATTCATGTGTTAAGATAGTGAACAATTTTTGTTTTTTTTGGGTTAATACAATGCTATATTATACAACCATAACTGTTATCCGTCTATTAAATAGGCATACTTCCGTCTCACCCCAACATTCATGGCTAAACCTAGCTAGAGCATTTAATATAATTAAATGAAATCTTTAAGAAGAAATATCAAGTCTTATCTAAGCATTAAAAGAAATTATTTCATTCATTGTCAATAAAGTTTTTAGATTACATAACTAAAGTTAATAAGGTGACATTTTATCTTTTAAAATATATTTTATAAAAATAAAAAAATTAATTAGAAAAAAAAAACATGTACAATCTCTTAATTCCGTTTGTGAAATTAAAAAATTATACTGACAATATATCAAATATTAAGCCAAAATATAAACTACCATTATTATAAAATAAACTCATAAAAACTACACAAAAGTTAAACATAAATTTTTGGTCTATATAGACCCAAGTATCAAAAGAGAGAGTACCTACCATTACCCATATTTGCATTGAAAAACCAAGATTAACCATTACCCATATTTGCATTGAAAAACCAAGATTAACTTATTGCTTGTAAGATTTAGCTTGCTAGCATGCCTCTTTAATTCTCTGATATTGAAGCAACAAAGGATTCTAACCAGAAAAATAAGTAAATGTCTAACCAAAAAAGTTACACTCGGCTAACATGAATGCAAATCCTAGAAAACACATACCATGTATGAAATCTACAGCTTGGCATATATCAACAAATGATAGAGCAAAAAGATAGTCCCTTGTAAGAATCACCAAATGATTGATGTTGTGAGCCTACCAGGGAAAAAGAACAAAAACAATGAATATTTGAGCTTTGAGGCATAGCTAAGATACAAAAAATACTATGTTTCTGATAGAAGGTAACATGCAACATTTCTAAAATTCTGTTGTTCATATCATAGTTAAAATATGCACCTGACCTACCTTTGTTGCAAGATCACTAAGAAAAAACTAAGTTCCTCTTCAAATTCATGAATTAATTATAAGACCCAATTGGTTAGGGAGTATTTTTGAATTATAAAACCTAAAGCAATTGGTTTATATATAAGACCCAATTGGTTGTAAGATCACTAAGAGAAAACTAAGTTCCTCTTCAAATCCATGAATTAATTATAAAAACTAAAGCAAATCCTATTTATATCATCACAAAATAGCGAAATATAAGTGTCAAATTACTCAAATCAGTTAACTTTTTAGCTTAATTCTGTACTTAAGAGGAAATGAATCTCAATTGAGCTTTAATACACTATCATTTGGGCTTTCAACCAACGAGGAACATTTCAAGTTTCGAAATTTTCTGGAGATCAAAAGCAACATTTAATTGACATAAGATCTGAAAGGATAAGATCAGGCCTTCTTGAGCTTTTCGAGGATGCCGGCGAAAAAATTGCGGAGAGAACGGCATCCTCGCGAAGTCGGAGGATGTCACGGATGGCGCGAAGAACACGGCGGAGGGCGGCAGCGCTTTGCTCCTCTAGCGACGCGGCGATCTCTTCGGAGACCATTTGGAGCTTCATTTCGAGATCCACCATGTGCTTGTCGAGGGAGTCCTGAGGATGCCGAGTCTTGCACGCCCAGTTTATCAACTTCTCCGGATCGAATTTCTTCATAGAATAACTTACCTTTTCATTGAATTCTTCTGATTAAAGAAAAAATCGAGGAACAGCTCAGTGGCGATTTAAGTCTAAAACAAAAAGGAAAGGAAGGGTACTGTTTGATGCTTAGTGATGACTACGCTTATTGAGAAAAAAGAGGGACGGTGGCGGCAGTGGCAACAGCGTCGGTGGTGATGACAAAGGCGACGCCGATAACAATGCTAAATTGGGGCCAAAGAAGAAACCCTAATTCTTATTGCTTGGGTGAAAGAAATTTTTTCTTTCCCTGGAAAAAAAATTGCCTTATTTTCGAATAAAAAAGATTGTTATGTTCAATTTTTTTTAATCACAGAACAAAAATGTGGCAAAGGTCGCTTTTGAATATTCTTTCTCATTAAAATTACGAATAATGACTATCTGTTTTTTTTCCTTTGAATATTAGCTTTTAATAAAATCATAAATCATGATAATAATTTTTTATTTACTATTTTTTCTATAATTTTTTGTATTAAATATTTTTAAAATGTTTTTTATTTTTGGTTATTATTAAAAATATATATTTTTTAAGAAATTACAATGACTTCCATAAAATTTACAAAAATTTTTATTTAAATTGTTTAATATTTTTTAAAAAATATAAAAATTTTATTTAGTGAGATTGAAGTTTCGTTCACTAACTTTATTTATATTCATTTTCAACTTTCATTTTCACTACAGATATAAAATTTTACACTTGTAAAACGACTTTGTGAGAGTCAACTTTAAATCCTAAAAAAAATATTAAATTAGTGAAGCTCATTTGTGATCTTCACAACAAAATGACTTTTAATGAACGTAAAATTACATTGCTCACTAAAATTACTCTTAATGAAGGTTATGAATGGCCTTTACCACAAAAAGAGTTTTTAGTGAGGATCAACACTTGATCCGCATTAAAGTTCTCACTAAAACACACTATTCTTGAAGAGTGGATATAGATTAGATTGAAGGATATTTAGTGATCATAAAGTTATTGTCTTGTTCATTGTTCTTTTTACTTTGTGATCAAATAGGTTGTAAAGGTATATTCATATTAGTTTTAGTTATATTATAAGAAAATGGATATATAAAAACCCTATTTTGCAACAATTGTAAATATTGTTGTGAAATCTTGTTATATTTAAAATGATTTTTTATAATCGTTGTTTAATTAATTTTTTTTATATTTTATACAACAATAGTTTTATCTTTGTAAATTCTTATTATATTCGTAGTAACAAAAAGAGCTGTTGTAAAAACTTATTTTATTTGTAACAATTTTTCGATATTGTTACTTAATTTATTTTTTAAAAATTTTGTACAACAACAAAAAAGTTGTTACCAAAATTTTTATCACATTTATAACAATAAAAAATTTATTATTGCAAAAACTTATTTTAATTGCAATGATTTTTCATTATCATTGCTTAATTTATTTTTTAATATTTTTATACAATGACAAAAAAAGTTTTTACGAAAATTTTCATCATATTTATAGCAATAAAAAGAATTACAATGAAATTTGATAGGATTTGCATGATTGGGACAAACTGCAAGCACATAGGCTATACAAGAATAATAATGATTTTCGGTCAAAATATCGTTCCCATGAGGATTAGGTAAAAAAATTCTTAAACTAAGTACCTGTTATTCCCATAACCTTTTAAAGTTGGTTCAATCAAACAAAGAAAAATATGGCATTAAACTAACTAAAAAAAAATCAAACAAAGCTTGAAGCACAAATATAGTAGTGTAAAATTGTAAAATATCAACTACATAAAATAAAGTGCAAAAATAGTAGGTAAATTGAAATGCAATGGACTAAACATGAATTTAAATGTAATGCTAATCTAAGAATTGAAAACAACATGTAGAAAATGAAGCAAAACAGTAGCTAAGTGAATATAATCGATGTTTTAAAAAAATTTGCATGAGTAATTTTGGAATAAAGCAGTCCCAGAAGCTTTTGGATCTTCATGGTTTCATTGTTGAAAAAAGATCTATTTTTTGCCAATAGTGTATCTTCTTTCAATCCATTTCATTGAATATTTTTTATAACTTTAGATTTGAAAGCAAAGAACTTGGGTTTATTGTTTGAAGTTCTTTTGGTGTAAATTCTAAGCATGGTTCAAAAGGGCTTGATTTTTAGTTTTTGGTTTTAATTTGTTTATTTCTAGATCTACAAAAGAGAAAACCTTTTTCTTTTGAAGATTTTTAGGTGAAATTTTCTTAGCTATAAAAGGGAACTGAAAGAAAAGAATATGAAAGTGAAAAGAACATGGAAATAGATAGGGGTAATAAATAAGTTCCAAGTATCTTTTAGTCCCATGGTTTTTTTTTTAATTTATTATTTTCACTAAAATAATAAAGATAAATAATAATAAGTGGAGCCTTATTAAAATATTTTAATATCGAATAACATTTCAGTTTTCCTCAATTGATCCAAATAAAAGATTAGGACCTATAATTCTCGAATTTTTTTGGTATTAAAACTCTTTAATTTGCATTACCATGATTTGATTCTACTTGTAATGATTTTAATCATGATTTTATTTATGTTTTTTTCTTCAAATTGTCTGTTTTGTTTATCATTGTCATTCGATAAAGTCAACAAATCAAGGCGTTTTAAACTAATTCTGTTGTTAATATTTCAAAGTTCTTATTACAGATAGCATTTTATAAGAGTAAACAATGAATTTTTGGTTCCGAAGATGCGATGAATGCAATCGTACAAATCTAGATTTATTTTTAATTTTGTTATTTAAAGTGTTACTAATATTTTTGGTTGCTCATAGAAATACAGATGTTGAAAGTAGAGTGTTTGGTAAAATTTTTTTGTGGATTTTAGCTATTGACAATGGCAGCATCAATAGTTGGGACCATAGGATGGTATAAAAGGAGAATTAATGCAATTCCATCTATAGATTGCTTGCCAGTAACGGTCATGTCCAATAATAAGGCTAGACTTCCACTTGAGAAAACAATTATCTTGTCATCTCTCATTGTTCCTAAATTGGTAAAACTCATTGGAATATACTTTTGAATTTAGCTTAGGTCCCTATTAAATTTAATGGTTTTCATGTTTGCTTGACATTTTCTTACGATTAATTTAGTTTTTGGTTGGATAATGATTTTATTCAAAATTTGCTAATAAGTTAACTGTGGATGCTACTATGAATAGAATCAATAACTTACTTTTCATGGTAAAAGCAAATTTTTCATGGATTCATTCTTTGTTACTATGTGAGAAAATCCATAATTCTTTTCTCTTATTAATAAGTGAGATCACTTTGGATGCATGGTTCTTGGGCATTAAACCTTTATGGAATTGCATGTGGAAAGCTTGACCTATTTACGAACTTAGATATAGGGGTCCATGGTATGCTTTTAATCATTTCAATGTTTGATGAATTTTAGTATCTAGAACATGATTAACACTGTTTGCTTCTATGATCAAGGATGTGGTGGCTGATGTTTTAATCGTTAAAGAAGGCAGAAAGCTTGGGTATGATTCGTAAGTAGCTAACATAGTTAACTATGCACTCTTTCTATTTTCTTCCAAATCTAATAGGGTAAGATGAAAAGTCTATAGTAAGAAGGAATAGCTTTTCACAATATTCAATGTTAAATTTCTTAATCTTTGAGATAGAAATTATAGTATACAACTTTCTAAAAGATTAGAAATGATAGTTAATGATGTTATTTTTTTTTTTGTTTATCTAATGTTGGGACCAATATACAGAATTAGTTGAAGTCTGAAGTCGGTTTATACTTATGTTGACCATTGATGTTTTTGGTAGGGTATCAAGTTTGGTAAAGATTTTGGGCATCACAGCTCCACAAATTGTTGCTTCAAATCTAATCTTGAAAGATGCATTTGTTCAGGTTTTATAGCAGTAAAAAAGAAGGCAACATTGGAAATCTATAAAAGTTAAAAATTACCTATACTTATATTAAGTGTTGGTAATCACCCATAATAGGTGGGCTACATCTTGTAAGATTAAACTACAATTGGGCAGTTTTGTTGCTTTTAAATACAAAATTGCCTTGGGCCTTAGGCAGTTTATGTTGCAATTGATGCTCATCTCTAGTTTATGTTGCCTTGGGTAGTTTATGATCTTGTTCAATGACTAATAATTCAAGTCAGATTTTCACTTTCGCTTCTGCTAAACAAGTAAGTGTATAGGATTATGTTCATATATATATATATATATATCTTACATGTAGCTTTATCTTATATTAAGTGTAAGTAACCATTATCTTATGATTGGTTAAAGACATTTTTTTTGGGTGAATAGTAATGATTCTTCAAATAGGCTTAGCCCTAAGGTTATGGATTATTTCGTAGAATCCAAGATGACAACTCACAAGATTGGGTTATTATTTTTTATTGTATAATTTCCAAGGTCTAGGATAAAATTTTTTTGTGCATGTCATTTGACTTAAACTTCTTTTGTTTTTGTTTTTTCTTTTCTTTTTTTTGCATCTTATATTATTAATAGGCTCGTAAAAGAGGTGTTGATGAGCCATTTGCCTAGGATAGCAAAGAATATTTTAAGAAGCTTTGCAATGGAAAAGCGCTTATCCTTTTGAATTATTATGGTCATTATTGTTATAGATGACATTTAGTTATTTATAATTTATCGTGGATTTAAAGTAATATATCTTAACTCAAGAAGGCACTTTCAAAGTTGAATGAATATGAAATACCAAGCATAGGCTGAGAATTTGGCTTTATTTACCTTGGTGATGACAAAAATATTGCAATATTAGTTGTCTTTGCAAACTAGGCAAATGTAATTTGCTTTTCAGTTTGTCATAATACTTGGGAAATGTGACTTATTGTTATCTTTTTGTATTCACTTTAACTGAGCCAGGTTTGTATAGATTAAGAAGAAAGGATAATAGAAAAGGGAAACAAGTCTTTTTCTTGCTGAAATGCTATGGCATGAAGAACAAGCTAAACAACAAGGTTAAGGTCGATGAAGCAAGGTAATCTCTTTCCCTTTTATAACAATCCATTTTAAATTTGACCGTTTCATTAATAGAGCAAAGAATAGCTTTTAAACGATCATGGTCTTTGTAATTGTGGTTGTAGGTGCCTAGTGCTGTCGAGGCTTCTATCGTAATTTACCTCCATCTATCATTTGTAATTTATGTTGTGTTTTAAGTTGGCTTTTCATGATTTCATGAATTTGTAGCATGTCAAATTTTATACTACAATTTTACAAATGTTAGGAGATGAAAATATTTCTAAAATATCCTTTTTGGAATTAAATCCACTGAAAAAGGTAATGGAAATAAAAGCTAGTCCATAATTGGCCTTTTAATACTTTTACCTTTAAATGAGGTTAACATGGTTTGCATTATAGGGTTATTGTCAAGATTTTAGCCCTCTACTCATAACATGTTTTGTTGAACCTTTCTCTTATTGAATTGCTATTTATTTGGTGCAATGCTGTGAAAGATGCGACTTTAAGTTTTGAGTTTTAAATGTCTAATTCTAACTATTTTTGTTGGATTTTAATCTTAGGCATGAGTGACTTGCTTTCTCTTTTTGCCATTCTCTTTGAGGATAATGTGTTTCGGTGCTTTGAGATGCTTATTATGTGAATAATATTTTAAACTTGATAAATATGTTAATTTTAGATTGAGGGGCCTACTAGAGTGATGAAGCAATTGCAAGCATTGTGACATATTTTGGAATTCATAGATAGGGAAATTTTGCATACCTATCAAATATAGGTGCTAAAAGCCTTCATTTTACATTTCCAATGTTGTTGGTTCAATTTTGTTGAAAGTTATAATTTGGTGAGGCTTTTCGTATGTGAGACGTCCATGCTTTTAGTCCTTGTTATGACATAAAAATGTAATTTTATTTTGATTGAAGTAAAAGTCACTATGAAGGTTACTGATAATTTTTTTTAATTTGACATTTTGACATATATCTTTCCCTCTTCTCTTTGTTGAAAAAAAATGGAGAATAGTAGGATACCTTGCAGAATAGTAAAATTTGTACCTAAGCATAATAATTTTACCTTAATTCAATTTACACTATAGCAAAACCTATTGTACCTAGGATATAAGCAAACTCTTATAAAATAGTTAAATGTCTAACTTAAGTAATTAATAAATTTCTTTTTATAATGTTTTGATTGTCTGATTGCTTAAGGGATGCAATTTAGTTTTTTTACATATCTTTTGATATAAGGCAGAAAGTTTTTGAATCGAAAGTTTTCTTAAAAACGGTTCAATGTTCAAGGCATTAAAGACTTGGGATATGTTTCCTTTTGGTTGAGTTTAACTGAATATATGCACTTGTAAGTAAGTCAAAATACAATTAGTGAAACCCTCCAAAAGTCTTAAATTAGGTGCATCAATTTTCAAAGTCTTCAAAACTAAATGTTTCCCTTGCATTTGGTGCTTATTGCTCCCATAACGAAATGTGAGTTTTTTATCTAGTAAAAAAATTATAGATAAACCTTATTAATAAATTTAATGCTTAACATGACAATTGGTAATCTCTAGTCAACCTATTGGCGATAAAGCATACACAAAAAATAAAAGTAGTTTGCTGATTTCTTGGAAAAATTCTATAATTGGTTAGTTAATTAATCCCACTTCTTTAGCTGGTTTACTTTAATCGATTAATCCTAGTGATTGATGGATTGATTAATTGTGTGGTTTAAGCATTATAGAGGTACACCTTTTATTTATAAATTAGATAAATCTTATTAATATTTACAATAAAATATCAAAAAGGGAATTTGAAATATAAATAACATAGATGTTTATTTTTGTTAGTTCAAAAGTTTTTCAATATTCATGCTTAGTATATATATTATACTCTTAGTATATGGTCACATGCATTGCACGTGAATATATGTTATTAATATATTTTTATACAATATCTGTGAGCATCATATCAAAGTATGAAAACTCATTTTAGTTGGCACTAATTTAAAAAAAATATATTATAAGATTTGAAAAATAAAATAGAATCATAAAACAAAAAAAATTGTGCATAAATTTATACAAAAGTTCAGTTTTATTAATAATCTAATGTGTAATATATCATAATATGTTAAGTTAAAAATTGTTATATCTATTTATACATAAAATAAATTGTTACATTAATTGAAACAAACCTTCATTAAGGTGTACAATTTTGTAACAAATTATTTGCTATGTTTCTTGGATAATAAAATAGCTATTTATCAAAAGCACATGGAAAAAGGAAATTAATTAGTAAGGATGATATTTTTCATTAATTGATTGAACCTATGAAAATAAAAAATTCTTCAAGATGATATAAGATTAGGTAATTTCATCTCTATCATACGCATTCAATTTCATATATTCATTGTAATACCTTAATAATTCCATTGATAATAATCACTATAAGAAAAATGGATATTAGCAATCTTATTTTATAATGATTGAAAATATCGTTGCAAAATATCATTATATTTACAATGACTTTTATTATCATTGCTTAATCGAACTTTTTAATATTTTATATAATGATAAATTTTATCATTGTGAATTCCTCTTCTATTCATAACAATAAAAAAAACTGTTGCAAAAACTTATTTTATTTTCAATGATTTTTAAATGTTGTTACTTAATTTATTTTGTTAATATTTTATACAATGACAAAAAAGTTATTACAAAATTTTTTGTCATATTTGTAAAGATAAAAAATTATTATTGTGAAAATTTATTGTATTTGCAATGATTTTTCAATATCTTTGCTTAATTTATTTTTGTAATATTTTATACAATGACAAAAAAATTGTTACGAAAATTTTTATTATATTTGTAACGATGAAAAATTATTGTTGTGAAAACTTGTTTTACTTGCAATGGTTTTTAAATGTTATTAGTTAATTTATTTTTTAATATTATATACAATGACAAAAAAAATTGTTATGAAAATTTTTATCATATTTGTAAGAATAAAAACTTATTGTTGAGAAAATCTATTTTATTTGCAATGATTTTTAAATGTCGTTGCTTAATTTATTTTTTTAATATTTTATACGATGATAAAAGAGTTATTATGAAAATTTTTATTATATTTGTAACGACAAAAAATTATTGTTGCGAAAACTTGGTTTATGTGCAACAATGTTTAAATGTCATTACTTAATTTATTTATTTTAATATTTTTAGACAATGGCAAAAAAATTATTAAGAAAATTTTTATAATATTTGTAACAACTAAAAATTATTGCTACAAAATGATATAACATTTGGAACGATTTTTTATAATTTTTGCTTAATTGATTTTTTGTAAAAATATTTTATATAACGGCAATTTTTTTCCATTGTGAATTTCTATTATATTCATAACAATAATAAAATTATTACGATATTTAGTTATATTTCAAACAACTTTATGGTGTCATTGCTTAATCAAATTTTTAATATTTTATACAAAGACAAAAAATTTGTTGCAAATATTTAATAATATTTATAATGAAAAAATGCTTGAATGAAAAAATGAAAAAATTATTTTATATAATAAAATAAATGATAAAAATCAAATCAATTTTGCTAGGAAAACTTCTTTTTCCTTTTTTTGTTGTAGACTTTTGTAAAACAAACAGATAAAAACAAGACAATTCATTGCAAAGATGGTTACATACACTATATACATATCTTTTCATCAATCGACAACTTTTCGTCCCGGTATTTTCACCCTGAACTCTACTCGACCCACTCTTCCTTGATCTAAGTTTAGGTTTTTTTTTTTTAAGTCGACTAGAAAAAATATTTTTAAAAATTTAAAATTAAGTTAAAATTTTATAATATTTAAAAAAAATTTTATGTCGATTTAAAAGTTTGAGGACAAATTTCTATATTGGTTTAAAAATTTTAAAAAATTGCATATTGTTTTAAAATGTTACATAAAATTTTTATATAATTCTAAAAATACATTTATTAATTTTTTTTGTTAAGAAATTTGGAATTATTTTATCCTAAATATTTATATTTATGTAAAATAACAAATATTATTTTCAATAACCCAATTTCTTTCTCTTATCATATTGACGATGATTTGGATTGTTTTGATTTTTTATTTGTTTTTAGTTTTATAAATTTTTAAAATAAAAAATTTTCAATAAAAATTTATTTATAAATTAATAAATCAATTTTTTAAAAATAATAAAGAAAAGTTTTCTTAACTTTTAAAACGATATGGAGTTTTTTTATTTAATTTTTTTAAATTGATATGGAAATTTTTACTTAATTTTTCAAAATGATATGGACTTTTTTCTAGAGGATTTTGAAAAATTTAATTTAATTTTAAATTTTGAGAATCTATTTTTTATTAAAGAAAAACATCTAACTTATAAATTATATTATAGTAAAAAATATTAAAATATCACTTTAATTTTAGTATTTTATAAAATGTATTTAAAAAATAAATATATTTAAGATAAAAACATTCTTGGTTCCTAAATTTTAAGCAAAATTCTATTTTGATCATTGCGTTTATCATGTGATATGCCACCTAATGCTATTTACTTATGCCAGCTGATACTTATAATCAATTTAAATTATTTCTTAGATGAAAGGATTGAAATAAGATAATTTTGAATAATTAAAAATTCAATTAGAACTTTTTAAAGATTAGGTATCAAAATAAAATTTTATTTAAAGTTTAGAGATCACATGCTATTAACCTTAATTTTTCTTGTTTTATAACAAAAATACATAAGGACTAATATTTTTTATATAAATAATAGTAATTATATGGTTATTCTACTAGTACCTATTAGGGGTGTAAATGATACATTAGTACTCGTAAGCTACTTGGGTTCGATTCGAAAAAAACTCGAATTCGGTTCGATTATTGTCGAGTCTAGCTCGAGCTCGAGTAGCTCGACTTATCGATCGAGCCGAATTCAAGTATTCTTATATCTGACTCGAGTAACTCGTAAGCCTAATCGAGCTTTTATATTGAAATATATTTTTATTATTTTAATTAATAAAATATTTCGAGTCTGAGTTCGAGTTCGAATTCGAGCATGAATAATCAAACTCTTGTCGAGTATACGAATCGAACTTATTTTTATATATTAATCGAGCTTAATCGAGCGAGCTCGAGTAGCTCGAATTCGATCACGAATCGAATTCGAGCTTGAAAAATAAAACTCGATCGAGCTCGAATCGAGTATCGAACCCCGAATTGTAAGTCGAGCTCAAGCTCGAGCTTCTCACTATTCAGCTCGGCTCGTTTACACCCCTAGTACCTATAGAGTATAGAGAAAACTAGAATATTTATATACAGAATCAAAACAAAAAAAATTAAAAAAAAAAATGTCAAAATAATTTAAAAAATAAAAAAAAGGAAGGTAGAGAGAGGACTGGGTTTAAGTAAAAGATGGTTGATTACTTAAGAGGAAAGGTAGTCAGAAGTTAAAAAGGTAGAGGCTCTGGAATTAGCATTCATTCCACCAAGTTGATTCGTTGTTTTCAACAAAAAACATAATTGTTTTTCTTATCATCGAAAGAAGAAGAAGAAGAAGAAGAGGAAGATTAAATCTACAACTTTGATTTCAGTTATAGATATTGTAGTATATGTATATCTGATAATAAAAAATACTAGGTGAGGAAAGGAGAGTTTCCAGGTATTTCTTCCTTATTTCCTCCCTACTTGTTGAATCGAAAATGAAATGATCCTCCAACTTCTCTCAACATAGTACTATGATTTAGCATTAAATTTACATGTTTGGGATGATTTGATTTGTGTTTGAAAAGGCTATAGTGAGCGATGGTGGAGGATAAAGGCATCCCTGATAGTGAAAGCAAAGAATCGAGTCCCCCGTCGCCGGTAGTCAAGAAGAAAGGCAAGAGTCCTCTATAGCAATTGGAATGCAATCTTAGTATTCACGGGGACGAATTCGAGAAGAGGCTTGAACACATTTCCAAGGAAGAGACCGCTGTTCTCGTGCGAATGATAAAAAGATCCCAGTCTTGGAGGAGAATGATTGGGCATCTCATTCCTTTTGGAGGTGCCCGCCCTAACCTTAGCACTTTATCTCTATGCCTATCTGCAACTCATTGCTCTACGTTTCTCATACAATAGTAGTGGTAGTATTATTATTCTTTGAAATAATTTTTCTATGGATATTTAGCTTTATTATTCTTATTCTATTTAATTTAACATATGCAAAAACTTACAGTAGATATCATTGGTGATTTTCCTCATACTCTGCATTCAACCGTTTATAGTATCTTGCCCACTAACTCTGACTTTTTTCATCCTTATTTGCTTTGGCCATCTTCCTTTTGCCTTTAAATCCAACCATTGTTCAATCGATTTCTTCCAGAAAGAAAGGCTGTCCAAATGGCCATTTTTTTCTTTTAGGGAAAAAAAAGAGAAGGAAAATGTGAAAAACTACTTCTAATAACTTTATACCTTTTCAAAAAACTCTCGTCTGGATGGGCTCCCATATAGATTTTATGGTCAATTTACAGGTTATTGTAGTTGCTTGTGCCATGATGACAACAAGATCCGTGGAGTTGAATTAGAAGATGAGGGCATTTCGGGTTTTGCCAATGTTCATTTTGTCTGCCTTTTCTTTTGTTGCTAATTCTGCTTCTGTAAGCATCACAAGGATGTATAAGTAACTTACTTCAATAACTGACACAATTTTTCATGTTGTCTTAGGTTTGCGACTGGTGGAGGCGACCGCAGTTGCAGATTTTTACTAGCATGCGTAGACTACAATGATATGACCAGAGACTATCTAATTTTTTTGACAAACAGCATCTTCTGTTTGTGTATATGTAAATCGGTCTATTATCTTTTGTTCTTGAATATCACTGTTTTTGCATTGTCTTAAATGCAGGTTCGAATATGGAACATGAAATCTGTTGGCAGGGACTTGGAAAATGATGAATCTACAATTGCAACCTTGCGAGATCATTTTGGGTTTGTTAACTGTGTTAGGTGGGCTAAGCATGGTTGATTTTTGTATCAAGGTTTGATGATCAAGTGGTTCTAATTCATGAGAGAAAGCCTGGTCTTGGGATGACTGATTTCGGCAGCAGAAAGCCCCCAGATGTTGAAAATTGGAAAGTTGCAATGACGTTGAGGGGACACACTGCATATGTGGCAATGATATTGTTTTTAATGTTAGAACATAGAGCCACTGATAAGAGCTAACTCTTTATCATTGTGTTGCATGTTGATTGATTTTTCATTCTTGAAAAAGCATCTAATTTTACCTGGAAACTCAGTTTTTGCAACATTTTCTCAGTACAAATTTGCTAATGGCTATAGTTTTTAAGTATGTGTTTATTTTGATTTTGTAAGAAGGGAGGAGGGGTTGAGGGTTGGAAAGAAGGTAAAGAAGAAAGAATACAAGGTCGAAATCCTCTACTGTAATGTCATATGTAGCCCCCTTAATTTATTGTATTGGTTTCTGATAAGCATTGGATATTATGTGACTGAAAACTTTCTTTTATTCTGCGCTTGAAGTAGGTGGATCTTAATTGGTCTCCTGACTGGATTTAGTTTTAATTGTTTTCTGCATGATTGAATTAATCTGTGCTTTTAGAAAAGGAAGCACAAGTGGATGAAGATTAATGAAGAATGATAGAGTCAAAGGTCTTCTATGTCACCAAATACCACCATGTCAGCTAAGATCATAGCTTAGAGTTTATGCTGAGACATTCTACTTCTGCACAGACAAAGTACACCGAAACACACACAGAAAACACATACACACAAAGGCAAGCATGCATACTAGGCAGACATGTACAATTCAAATTCATCTGCTGTGTATTAACTATAAATACATTCCAATGCTGACTTGATGATTATTGTTGGTGGGAATATGCCTAAAAAATCAGTCATTTTCGAACTTTCATTATTCGAACGTGGCATTCATTGGCATTTTGCTCATGCCATTATCACTTTGGTGCAGAATATGGACAAGAATAATGAGATAAATTTTGGACCACGTGTCTGCGTAATTGGAGGAAAAAGCTGCCACAAGTTATGAAATCCTGTCTTTAATGAGCAAAATTTGAAATTATGTGTAAGATTGCCAATTAAGCTAAAGCGATATCCAGCCAAAAGTTGGTTGCTGTATAAGCTGAAATTGTTGAGTTGCGACTTGGCTTCTTTCTTTCTTTTTATTTCTTTATTTTTATTTGAAGTTAAGAAAAAACACATTTTTTACACCTTTCCAAAAAAAATGCAGTTGCAATTGTCATTTAAGCATTAGGCAGTTGTTTTCATTTGTATACTCAATTATAATTTTGTTTTTGTATTGTACTCTCTGTTTAAGAAATTATAATTGTTGTATGTGCTTTAAGCAAAATGTACTGTAATTAATAACAAAATGTATTCTTATTGTGTTAAATTAATTTTATTGATATATTTACTAATAAAATAATAAATGAAATGATTTTATGATTACGACAATAAAGTTGTTGCACAAAGTATACAGAAAATTTAAAAAATCTTTATGTAAAAACAATAGTCGTTGTCATAATTAATAAATTTAGTTGTGTTAAAAATTATGCAATGATAAAATTTGTTATTAAAATTAAAAAAAAAAAATCATTACAAAAATAATTTTATCAATGATAATAGTAGATATGTAAAAGATTTTTCAAAGATTATAGTTGTTAAAATTATTTATTAAAATGATAAAAATCATGAAATTAAAGGTAATTCATAACTATATAAGGCAAATAATATTGTAAAATATTATAAGGCAACCAAAATAATATTGTTATGTAAAACGTTTTTGTAACCGGAATATAAGATTGCTAAAATAAAGTTAATATAATAACTTTTAATCGTTACGAAATAATATTGTTATGTAACCAAAATAATATTGTAACCACATTTTATGGTTGTTAAAATAAAGTTTATACAATAGTATTTTATCATTGCAAAAAAAAAAATATATATATATATATTTTTTGCAACTACAACATAGTCATTACATAAAAATTTTGGAAATCAAAATAATATTGCTACACAAAAATTTTTGCAACCAACATAATAATGTTACATAAATTTTTTATAACCAAAATTTATTGTTGCCAAAAATAAGTTTTAGAGAATGATATTTTATTGTTGTGAAAACATGTTTTATATGGCAACTAAAAATTGTTGCAATATCTTTTTTTTTTTTAATGACACTATACATTATTGTACTAACTTTTTATCAGCGGAGTTAATAGCAACGACCTCGTAACGGAGTTAATAGCAATGATTTCATAATGACAAAAAATCATTTCAAAACAATTTTATCAACGATAAATAGTCATTTAGTAATGATTATGACCACTACAATATATTAATTTTCTTATAGTAAGTATTACAAATATATTACGGCTAAATGACTTTCAAATAGAATTCCTACAGTGGTTTAATCAATCACCAATAAAACATAAAGCAATAAAATAAAAGACAAAACATAGCTTTTTTTTTTTTTTTTAGAAAACAAAAACATAGTTATTAAAATAAATAGAGAAATAACCAATCTCTTTACCTTTGAACAAATCGTAATGCCTCTTCTTCGATGATAATGTTACAAATTAAAATAATAATTTAATTTGTAAAATAAAAATAAATCGTTATTATCATTAAAACTTATCATTTTCGTAAGGAGAATTTATACCATAGAAAATGTTAATACATATAATATTACACAAATTCCAGTGAAGCACTATATATTTATAATAGTGATGATATTAAATAGTATAAAATTTATTGAATTTAAACTTCTAAGAATGATAAAGATTGTAGATTATTTAAAATATAATGATAATAAATAGTATAAAATTCGTTGGATTGAATTTTTAATTTTTATTTTGATATATAAATTAATTAATTTTTTACTTTAATGAATATATATATTCATATGTCTAAATCTTCACTCTACCATTAAAATAATAAAAACTACAATAAATAATATAAACAATAATATAAAATAGAGATGCAAAACTTAGCCAAACTTAAGTGGAAATGATTGCTATAATATTGAAAATTTGATAAAATTAATCAGCCTGGTCTAATTGGTTGGTGGAAATGAATAATGCTATAATATTGGCAATTTGATAAAGTTAATTAGCATATCCCAATAGGTTTATTAATATCCGAATATAATTTATTTGATAAAACTTAGTAGCCATTATCATTTGATAAATCTTAACAATAAAAATATATAAATTATTTAAGAAGATGGATCAACTTACACAATATAATAATAAAAAAAGTTTACACATTTTTCTAAATATTGATTTTAATAGATTCAATGGATTAGATAAAACCAAAATTTCCCTATTTTTTACTTGTCTTTCTTATCTCTTAGATTAATAAAATCAATGATTAAAAAATCTGTTAGTAATGTGTTGGTATTCCATTGGAAAAATCAATTGGTAATTTATTGGTAAAATCAATTTGTAATCCGTTGGTATTTCATCGGTAATCCGTAAGTAACCCATTTGTAATTCATTGATAATCGGTCACTAAATGGTATTTTTCGTTTGTAAATTTGTCAGTAATCCATTAATAATATTGAAATTTCATTGATAAAATTCCTCAGTAAAATTATAATTTCATTGATAATTTGATTAATTCCATCTATAATTATTTAAGAAACCTTGTAAATTAAAATTAAAAAATATGTAATTATTTAAAAAGCTTATTTTTCTATTATTATTAATTAAAATATCAAATCCATATAATAACTTATAAAACAATCCAAATTATAAAACTAACATTCTTAAGATCCCTAACATCCATAAAATATAACGCTGAAAAATGTCCATAACATCCATAAAATCCTTCATAGAAGGTCCTCAAAAACATGTCACTATGCTGTTGCATCTTTTGATCCAGAATTTGTGTTGCCGTTGTCAGGTTTAGAAAATTGCATTGGCAAAAATTATATAGATCCCATCAACTACATTATCTAATCCATGAAAGACCTAAGTTCAACCTTCATATTAGTCTTTGACTCATCAATTTGTTTTTGTATTTGAGGTTGAAAAGGCATAGATGATAGACCACAAACAGAGTGAGAGGTTGTTGTTGCAGCAATTGATTGACTTGAATAAAGGAGGTCCTCATATCTACCTGCAGATCCAAAGCCATATACATGAGTGCACATAGCTTCAATCCTTCCAATAGCTTCAGTCCATGCTTGCGGATCAAAATATGGATGATTAGAAGAGTCTTCACCATATTTATGAAATAATACATCAACATAGTTTTCCTACAAAAAATTTAAAACAATTATATTATTCTTGAATTGATAAAGTATTTTGAAATGAAAAAAATATTGCTAAAATTGAATTAAAATGATTTGAACTTAATTTGAATATTTTCTAAAGTTTTATCTAGTCAAAAATGTGTTCAATTTATCTTGTATGGTTTAAAAACAAAATTGACCAAAATTACGTAGAAAGAATTGATCCCTTCGGATCCCTCTTTAAGGGGATCGATTGATTTTTTAGCCAGTAAGGTATCTCATGGAATTTTTATGAAAACAAATCAATCCCCTCCTTGTATGGATCAATTGGTACAAGTTTTCAAAGACAAGATCGATGCCTTCCTTATAAGGATTGATTGGTTTTTTATTAGAAGTAAAAATTGGTTTCAAAACATGAAAATGGATCGATCACCTAGCCTAGGGGATAGATCACCTTGCAAATAGATCAACTGGTACCTTTTATGGATCGATTGGGCAATTTTTTAAATGATCCCTTCCAAAAGGGATCGATTGGTTGGATCCTGACAAGTTTAAATTGTTATATTTTCTTGTTAATTTGTAGAGGCTCCCAACATTAAATGAGGCGAACGGCTCTCTTGCACTCTCTACATATAAAAGGAGGTCTCCCAGTAGATTCAAGACATCAAGAGCCAAGAAAAACTTATTGCTTCCATTTACCATCACCTTCAAGCATTAAAAAATATTTGTTGTATGAAAAGTGTAAAAAATTCATCTTGTATTTTTTCTCTCTTAATATCTTTCATAATCTTGATTTGTATTTCAAATTAGTAAACACCCAACTTTAGAGAGATTTTTTGAGTTTGCAAAACACTTCAAAACTTGTATTGAAAGGTTGTAAGCTTAAGGGAGAGGATAACCTTTAAGAGATTATGTTGTTGATTGGATAAAACTTTGAAGAGCTAGGTTATAACATTCAACACATAGTGGATTGGACTTCTTGTAGATGAGAATAAGGGAAAGGATATAAGTGCCTAAAGAAAGGGTCAAACTTTTATAAATTTCAATGTTTGATTCTTTATCTCTATCTCTTTACTTTTAAGATTATTATTGTACTCATATTTGTTGTGTTTATTTGGTTAGAAATATTGGTCTGTGAATTTTATGTTCATTGGCTATTAAATTGCAAAAATTCATAGTTAACCAATTCGCCATTTTTTTTGGTTTAATTCAAGTTATTAAGATAGCAATTGGTATTAGTGCTAGTACTTTTTTTTATAGGTTTAAAAATTAAAGAATGATTATAAATGGCTCAAAGAAATATGGTGATGAAGGAAGAGTAACCATCTACAAGTTACAACAATTATGGAAAGCAAAGTGTGTCAATGGCAATTGAAACGATTGCCACATCTTTTGGTGGTGAAGGTCATTCCATTGTGAGAACCTTTTTTTTTGTTGGTGACAACTACTTATATTAAAAGACAACAATGTGATTGTTCATTCAAGTCAATGACTATGAAGTATGGAGAATGTATCAATGGTCCTTAAATTCCAATAAAGAAGGTGAATGATAGAGATATGATCAAGTAAGAAAGTAAATGGGATGCTAATGATATGAAAATGGCTCAACTCAATGCTAAGCCAATGCATACATTATTTTGTGTATAGGGGCCTAGTGAGTATAATAGAGTTTTTTTGTGTGAAAATGTAAAAAAATTTAGGA